CTTTCAGGTTTTGTTTATCTGAGAATGTTTTTATCTTTTCTTCCCATATGAAAATAATCTTTCCGGGTACAGTATTCTTGGTTGAAATTATTTTTCACTTAATACTTTGAATATATTTTCCCATTCTTTCCTTGTTTAGATTGTTTCCAATGAGAGGTCCGATGTTAACCTGATGAGATAATCTTTGTAAGTAACCTGATGTTTCTTTCTTGCCAATTTTAGTGTCTTGTCTGTGGATTTGGCCAGTCTGGCTATGATGTGCCTTGGAGAAGATCTTCTTGAGTTGATTCTATTAGGGATCCTTTGTATTTGTCTGGATATTTGAATGCTTCCCTAGGTTTGGAAAATTTTCTCCCAGGATTTCATAGAATAGATTATCAATGCCATTATTAGTTTCTTCACTTTCTGGGATACTGATTATCCAGACATTTGGGTGTTTAATGGTACCTAGTATTTCTCATATATTATAACTCATTTTTGAGTTATTTTCTCAGTCTTGTGATTTTTTTCTAAGTCAGAGGTTTTGTCTTCAACATTTGAAATTCTATCTTTTTTTTTCATTTTCTTTTATACATTCAATCACATTATTTAGCTTACAAAGTGAATATTTCAACATGTGAACATTTCTCCCTAGTCCAGTTGATAAAACTATAAAATTATCTTTAACAGATAATACCACATTTCTTTGTCCCATTAATGCTTTACCTCTCTATTTTTCTTCTAAATGTCCTTCCTCAGACTCTACTCTTTCACATACACTATATATGGTATTCACATCCATTTACTGTGTTTCTATATCCTTTAGTCAATCAGTTTCAGTCATAGAGTGAGATTCGATCTTCTGCATGGTCTAATCTGCTTTTAATAGCTTCAAAGGAGGTTTTGATTTCCTGTATTAAATCCTTCATCTCTAACACTCCGTTTGATTCTTTTTTATGGCGTGTATTTTTTTTTTTCAAATCATGGAAGAACTTCCTCACTTCCTGGAACTCATTGTCTCTTTTCTCTTGCATCTTCTGGAGTTCATTGTCGCTCATCTCTTGCATCTTGTTTAGTTTTGGCACTATGAATATTCTAAATTCTTTATCAGACATTTCCATGAGTTCCATTGTACTATCTGCATGGGAGATAAATATTTTCTTGGTTTCTCATATTTCTTGTGCCTCTTCATTGGTTTCTAGTCATCTGATAGATTATATGTTTCTTCCTAATTTCTTGTAGTTAATTCCAAATGTTCAGAGGAGTTTGAGAGGAAGTGATCCGCAATCTCTGTATAGTTCCGTTTCCCTGATGTTCACCAAGCAACCTGCTCTTTTGACTTTGGGACTGGATATAACAAAGGTCTTGCAGTTTATAGGGAATAGATGCACCTGGACTGAGCTGTGGGGTTTCAACTGAGAGTTCAGAGGCATGTGGGAGGAGATGAACCATGCTCTCTCTGCAGCTCCATACTTCTCCCTGCTACTCATTCTGCAGTATCTCTTCTCTGAATTTTAATCATTTGGTGGTGTATTCACTTTTTGCTAATAGCTTAGAGAAGTTTCCACAACAATATCATGTGCTTACATTTACTGTAAGGTACTTCTGTGAAAATTTCTCTCCTCTACTATGTTTTGCAGTGTGGTATCCACAGAAAGAGATTTTGAGTTCAGATATACAGAGGAGTTTCTTCCTTTGGGCAGCAGGTTCAGTAAGAGTTGAGGATTTCTATGACCCTAAAAGTATTCAGATGCTTGGCTACTGTGTACCTAGGCCTATCTAGACATTCAGTGTGTGGAGGCTGAACAGCAAAGTAAGAAAGTAAGATTAAAAAAAGGAAAAGAAATTAAAGAGGGGGGGGAGAAAAAAACAACCAAAAGCAGATAAAATTTTTTTTTCAAAAAGCAAAAAATGAAAACCACAAGGCATGCTTGCACACCACACAAACACAGCAGGACACACCTCAGATTTAAATGGCTTCTGAAGTTAGAAAGACAAAAGAGAAGTCAGAAGTGAGAAGAAGTGTTTTAAAAATTAAAAAAAAAAGAAAAAATTTAAAGAGAGAGAGAGAGTCAGAAACAGAGAGAGGATAGAGGTTGGCCTTCCTGTCTGAGTTCTGTTGGGATCTGAAAGATGGGTTTAGAGCAGAGATTCAATCACCTTGGTCTCGGAACATGGTAGGACAGACCTCAGATTTATTTAATTTTTAAATAATTATTTTATTTAACTTTATTTATTTTAATTTGACCAGAGAAGGACAGAGCAAGAGCAAGAGGGAGAAAGTGAGAAAGCAAGTTGCCAGGTCCAGGACTTGAACCACAGTCGGCCATGTGGGAGTCCAATGCCCTTAACCACCACACCATCTGCCAGCCCCTGCACATCAGATTTAAATGGCTTCTGTCTGAGTTTTTTGGAGGTCTGGAACATGGGGTTTCAAGCATAGATTCAGTTGCCTTGGTTCCTGAACATGGCAGGAGACACCTCAGATTTAAATGGCTTCTGTCTGAGTTTTTGGAGGGTCTAGAAGATGGGGTTTAGAGCAGAAATTCAGTGTCCTTGGTCTCTCAATTACACATGTTTGTTATGTATTCATGTAAACAAACATAGCAGGAACCCTACTTTCTAACATTTTCACAGGTACTTTAAATTAATATACATTTTGAAAATATTAATACTGTGTTGTCGTTTTGAAAAACTGATAATTTAAATCATTCTCTCCCCTCCCCCATCTCATACTCCCATACCCCAAATTGGTCCAGAGATTGGCTAGGTTGGTATATTCTAAATTCTCATTCTTTGGTCCCAAAATCCTTTGTTGAGAAAAATTCCTGGTGTTAAGGAGTAGCCAAACTGTTGCAAAAAATTATTTTTAATATTGGGGTCCATTCTTCTAAATCTACCTGTTACCTCTGGGAATCATTTCTTCAGTTACCAGAGAGAAGTAGGGTGCTAACTCAGTGATTTCTAGAGGTCCCTCCCCAGCTATAATATCTGCTAAAATCTTATCTCCCCTAACTGAAGATTGGGAGTCCAGGTGGATGTAAATATCACTATGTAAACTCTCGATCCAAAAGACATTTGATGCTCCATATTTGGTTCCTTGATAATATTTACAAAAAAACTATTTTTGTTCTTTGGATATGCCTTCATTGGAGAGCACTGAAAAGTGGGTATGAAGGCTAGAGTTCCCACAGATGGAGAAATCACCAGTTCTGAAATGTGACTTCTGAGAGCACAGTAATGAATGCTTAAGGCCGTTGATCAGTGTGTGTGTGTGTGTGTGTGTGTGTGTGTGTGTGTTCTGAAGGAGGAAACAAGCAGCACAGAATGATAAAAAAACTAACATTTCAGAAATAACATTTTTGGACATTTACAATGTTTGTTCTGACAAATCTGTGACCAAAATAGCATATATATAAATTATCCCATCAAGGATCCTTCCTGATGTTGTGAGGTTGGATGGATATGATGGATGTTAGCAAGCTACTATTGGAACAGAGTTGTCTTCATGAGTGTAATTGGCAGAATTGCATACCTGGAAGTAGGAGAAAAGCCATAGAAAGTTTTTTCTATGATTATCAGTAGTCAGAGAGAAATTTCTCAAAATAAAAGTCTTCATGTGCTCAAATGACTTATGCCTCTATCTCTCCTGAGTGTGCACCATGTACATGCATACACACATATATAATCCACTTCAATATCTTTGATTGTGCCATTTCTGATGTAGGATGCTTTCCCCCTCTTCTTCACCTATCTAATCACTGGCCATCATTTAAGAAATATCTGTAGAAATTTTGCCCATTTTTTAAAAAAGAATTATTTATTTATTTTATTTTATTGATTATTATTATTTTTTTAATTTGACCAGAGAGAGAAAGGAAAAGTGAGAAAGCAAGTCACCAGGTCTGGGATTCAAACCATGGTCAACCATGTTGGAGTCAAGAGCCTTAACCACTATGCCCCCCTTCAACCCCTCTGGCCCATTCTTTCAAATCCTGTCTCCTCCATGAAGTATTTCATACCTACTCAAGTCACAGTAGCTCCTCATTCCTTAAACTGCAGTGACATTCTGGTCTATACCATTTGACTCTTTCATTGTTTCTTCATTGTCTAATTGAAGATAGTAATGCACAGTGGCTAAAAAGTATGCATTCTGTATGACCTTGGATAATATATATAACCTTTCCAACCTTCTCATCTATTAAATGGAGATATAAAGAGTCCTTAACCTCACAGAGTTATTCAGAAAGTTAAATGGGAATAATGCATGTCAAGTGCTCTACCTGGCACATGGTAGGTGTTCAATAATTAGTGGCGAGTGGAGGTGGTCATAGTAGTGGTAATAATAATCACCATCATCATCATCATCATCATCGGTCTCTTCAACTAGGTTGCATAACCTTTGAGGGCAGGGGCCATGTCTCCTGTCTGCTTTTTCTCCCCTAGTCCCAAAATATTCAATGGGCAAATTTGATGTCTGTTGATTTCGTGTCCAGCTCTATTCAGTAGTGCTACCTCAGAGATATGAAATTGCATCCAGAGTATAATTCTTATATTTTGTTGCCAACTATGGAAGCCCTAAGATGTTTTTTCATGGTTTGCATGCATGAGTAGTTTGTATGGAAGCTGCTGAAGCGATCATGTGCTAGTAGAAAAGAATAGGAAACTTCTTAATCATCCCAAGCTCCTGTGGTGTATACACATGGAAAAAAAAGAAAAGAAAAAAAAACGGAGAGAGAGAAAGAGAGAAGGAGAAAGAGGAAGACGAAAGAAAGGGAAGGATGGAGGGAAATGTACTAAAATGCCATCTGGTAAATTGCTTTCAAATTCTATGACTTCCTGCCAGTTCAAGCTGTATTGCTTTAATCCTTTAAGAAAGCTAATGTTGGGACCATATCCACCACTTGTCCACCAGACCATTTCTGTAAAGAATTTGCAAGAGTTTACATTGGTAAATAAACTAAATGCAGAAACCTTAAAACAACAAATTATTTGGCTTGTTGTTTCTTTTCAGCTGATAATAGTAGAACTCTGAATGTGGATTCCACGGCAATGACACTACCTATGTCTGATCCAACCGCATGGGCCACAGCAATGAATAATCTTGGAATGGCACCTCTGGGAATTGCTGGGCAACCAATTTTACCTGGTATGTTATTTTTAATCACCTCACAAGTGCTTCTTTTTATTGACCATGTGGTAATAAATATAACGGTATGACATAACTTATTTTGAAGTTGACATTTACCAGATTCTGCCTAGAGTGTGCATTTTTGTAATATGAGCTTTAGCGACTGGGCGGCCTCTAGTTACTAATATATGCCCTATGGTGGGGGGATATCCGATACAGGACAGAGTCATTGTACATTTAAACAGCTCGTTAAAATAAGAGGCAACAGGGTTTTGTCAAGGAATTATAAAGTTTGTCTAATTTTATATTATAGACTTCTTAGAGGAGAAAGGTAAGCATGGAGTATTAAGAGAACTGACTTAGATATCCCCCAAATTTTAGATTCCTAAAGGAGAGGAAGGAAGATGGCAGGGAACAGCCCAAAGACAACTAGTTTTTAACATTTAATGTGTGTGTGTGTGTGTGTGTGTGTGTGTGTGTGTGTATAAACAAAGTAGCCCATACAAGAGTGGAAGATAAAATCCTAAGAAAAATGAAGGTTTACTTTAGATATAAAAAACTTCCTAGACAGTCAGAGTTATTAACTAAACAATGAGGTGTGTTTTTTTTTTTTGAGAGATTTTTGCCATAGGGCGTGTGTGCGCTTGCCAGACAGACAGAGAGAGACAGAAAGATAGAAAGCAAAAAATCCCCCCCCCAGGGGGGATGGCCACACCTCAATCCCTTCTCCACTCTCCTCTCGGGATCTTGGGCACGCACACACACGCGCCCAGCCTGAGTTTTAAGCCACCGGGTCTGGGACTCGAACAGCTGTCAACTACGTGGGAGTCCAGCGACATAGCCATTACGCTAACTGCTGGTCCCAACAATGAGTTTTTGAAGACAATTAGGAATTGCCACCTCAGAAAGCTTGAGGTGGCTTTTTAAAAGGCCTAAACATTAATCTTTCAAGATTAATTTAATTGTGGTCCTACTTACAAACAATAGGAGCAGGCCAGTGGAGAACCTTAGTATGTTGTGCATCCCCTGGCTACTGTTTTGAATTACATCATCTCAGACCCCAACCAAGGCCTACTGAATCAGAAGCTGCACTTTACCAAGATCCTTGGGTGATTCACAAGCACATTAAAACTGAGAAACAGATTTACAGTGATGTTGCTTTGACATGCCATTTATTATAGTAAAGTACTCCCTCCCTCCAAAAATAGTTTCACAATTTCAGCACAGATGTTAAATCCTTACAAGTTATAATGGGGATGAGACGGGTTAATAAACAACAGCATTCATAATGAAATAAGAAATGTTATTATATTGAAAACCAAGAAACAAGTATAAATGCAGCTGAACATGAAAAAAAGAAAGTATGTGAATGGAAAATAAGTGGTGGGGGGGGAATTCTATGTGTAGTAGAAGGAAAGAACTGTTTTACCAAACTATTATTCATGGGCTGTGATTGGCTATACTGTATTCTTTTCCATAGACGAACCATGATTGAAATGAACAATCAGGGATCCTTTGAGGGCAAGAATGATTGAACTGTAAATTTTATTGTGTTTTGTATTTATAAAGAATTATTTAATTTGATTTATTATTATTATTGTTACTATTATTATATTTTGCTGTAGGGCACATGCACTCACCAGAGAGAAAGACAGAAAGTGAGAAAGCAAGCTGTTAGGTCTGAGACTCGAATCATAGCCAGCCATGTGGGAGCCCAGCACCTTAACCACCATGCCATCTGCCAGCCCCTCCTTTGGTTTTAAGTAACTAGTGGAGCCAATCTGGGATCAATGGATGTAATGTTACTATAGGAGCCTGTATTACAGAGTGGCTAAGGTCTCAAACTCTCGGTTCAATCTGCCTGGCTTCTACGTCTATTTCTTTCACTGTTTGACCTTGGGGAGCTAATACATCTTCTCAAACTCAATTTCTTCACCCATAAAAGCAAACTAATAGTAACCAACTCCTAGGGTTGCTGTGAGAATTAAATCACACTTAGCATAGTGCCTGGTACATGCTAGTTACTCAAAATGTTAGCTATTAAAATACTTTTTAACCCATTATCAATATAATTCTCACAGACATTTCTAAAGTAAGTAATGAGTTTTATATTTAGTATTTATTATTTCAACTTAATTGAATTTAAACTAAAATATTCTATATTATTTTATAGTTCCATGTGGAGTGGTCTTGAGTCAACATCACTTATACTCTAAAGTGACTAAACAATCTTATTTAGCTTGAATATTCCCAGTTTATGGCAGTCTGGACCACACAGGTAAATGTCACAGGAAGAAATCTTGAGGTCACATCTGTTCTGAGGCTGAAAGAATTAAATGTTAACCAATTTCAGATTATTTGTAAATTACTACATCTAAATATAAATCTATGCTTTCAAAGTAATCTTCAATACTTACCCACCTATCTATATAACCCAGAGGCAAAATGGCCTATCATTAAGAGAAAAAAACCTTCCTCCAAGCAGTCATTACCAACCTAGAGTTTGAGCTGGTTACAATAATAGAACTAGAAAATTGGCGTCATTTTTTTAATGATTTTTTGTCATAGGGTGCATGCACTCACCAGAGAAAGGGAGAGAAATGCCACAGTCCTTTTTCTTCCATTCTCCTCTTAAGATTTTGGGCACGTGCATACACGTTCCTGGTGTGTTTTTCAAGCTACCACATCCGGAACTTGAACCATGGAGTCAGCCATGTGGGGTCCAGTGCCTTAACCACCATGCTACCTGCTAACCCATGGGGTAGGTTTTTTTAACACCGGCTCAGAGGGCTATTTCTGCAGAGACAGTGCCTTGCTTAGCACTTAACATAGGCCTTGTAGTCAGACAGCTTGGGTTTGAGTCTTCGCTTTGTTGCTTCCTAGCTAACATTGAGATACTTCTCTGTGCCTCTGCTTCCTCATCTGTAAAATGAGAACAATTATAGTACCTACCTCATAGAATTCCTGTGAATATTTAATAAAATATTTAGCACAATGTTTGCCATATAATGAATACTCAATAAACATTAACCATCATTATTGTTACCACTATACTACATGGTCTTTGCAGGAAAAAAAAAGTACTAACATATTTGCTTCAAATAGTTGTTAAATTCCTACTTACATTGAAAGTATGTGGGTGCTATGCAGCCACTGCCAGCTCTGATGAGCTCCAACCAGACATTTGAAATCTCAGGAGGAGTTTTAATTTCTACCTCTTATCCCTATTGCCTACATCTTGTTGTCTTAAGGATTATTAAGAAATAGCTTCTCAGGGCCCACTTCAAACTTGTGATCCAGTAATCTTGCCTGCTGTTATACTCCAGAGAAAGTTACTTGACTCTTTGATGTTAGAAATGCTAATGATTAGTTTAATAGTTTCCTTCTTTTCTGAAAGAGTTACACAAGGCAGTAACATCAGGCTGAAATGTACTTTGTAAAAACTTTATATAAAAATCACTTGAGTCATGTGTGAGCTGGTTTTTCTCCTCTCTGTATTATATTAGAAAGGCAGCTTACCAGTGAGATTAGCACGTGGATTCTGGATCCAGACTGCATAGGGTCACATACCTATCTGTCGTTAACTAGCTGGGTGATGTTTGGCAGGTTACTTGACCTCGCTATGCCTCAGTTACGTCATCTATAAAATAGAGATAATAGCACCTGTGTTATAGGACTGTCATGACAGTGTGTTAATGCATGTAAAGTCTTAGAATGATGCTTGGCTCACAGTAATCCCTCAATAAACTCAGCTGTTATTTTTATTGTTTTGAGTTCATATATGATCCTTAGCTCGCAAAAACTTGAATTATGGCTCATTTGTACTCTTAGGAATAATGAATGATAACGAATGCAGGGCTGAAAGTTTTTCCTGGGGAATGGGAAATGGGCAGTGGCCAATGAAGAGAACAGTGTGCACCTGACAGTGCAGACGCACTACATTCCATCCAATGCTGCCTCCACTTCTCTTTGCCTAGGCCTGGGGAACAGGGTGCCTGCCGTCTTTATGCATCTCCCTAATCCTCTCCCTAGCCTCCAAGATTCCTTAAAATTTAAAAGGTAGTAAATGAGCCTCATGGAGCTGTTCACCAAAGTCCCCCAGTTTTGTTTTGTTTTTAAATGTTACAGGATGGGTGTGCTTGCTGGAGAGAGACAGAGAGAATGTGAGAATGCACTCTCCAGGGAGATAGCCATGCACAGTCCCTTTTCCTCCATTCTCCTCCCTGGATTTTGGGCATGTACACATATGTGCCCAGTGTATTTTTCAGACCACCAGGCCTAGGACCCAAACCACATAGTCGGCCACATGGGATCCAGCTGCCTTAACCCCCCCATGCCACTGACTGGCCCAAAGCCACCCATTGATGGCTAAGTAATTCAGCTACTTTCTGCCATTCAGGAAGTTTCTTACTAAGCCAGCAGACTTCTTTGTTCTGTCTTTCTGGCTTGTCTGTGACAATGCAAATGGATTTTGGCATTGATGAAAAAGCAAATGATACATAAGCTTCTCTGACTATCCTCAAATCTATATTGTCATGGATGTTGAGTCTCCTGGACACAGACTTGTCATGAAAGCAGTGTCTGTCATAATTATTGCATTCATTGAGTGTGGATCAGAGACAGGCTATCTCAGGGGTTTGGTGTGTAGCTCACTTTCATAATATGTTTTGTATAGCTGCTGTTCAATAAAGCTAATCTGCAATGATAGCCAATCAGGGGGTCCCCTCTGGCTGCCAGCTATCTTTCCTACAAAAGTATTTGCTTTGCCAAGCAGGTCAAATAAGACTAATGTTAGTTTTCACATAAAAAGAGACACCCCAAAGGGCTCAGATTTTTTGGTTAAAGAACGTTGTTCTGCCTTAGTCATCCCTGATGAATCTGAGGATGGACACATTAAGGGATATTTGGTGAATACTCCTTTACTTTCCCCCTCCATTAAAATATCCTTAGCAGCCAAGCGTGGAGCCTTAAAGTCCCAAATGAGAAGTCTCTCATTATGGTGTTTCCACTGTATTGAC